GTGTCAGTCCGAGTAAGCCCGTGAGCAAATTTTAAAAAAAATATATAAAAATCTTTGGCAGCTACACATAGTTGCAGCTATTGCAGTAAGCAATGCCCATTGCCTCTTTTTATAAAAATAATCACGGTCGGCTTGACTTGACTCGATAAAGTTCGAGTCGAAAACTTAGATCGAACTTAAATTTTTTGCCCGAGCAAAAGCTCGGTTCACCTTGGGCAAAAAAACCCCGAGCCATTTTTATTCGAGCTAAGCCTGAGCTTTGAATTTCGGCTCGCAAGTCGACTTGACTTGGCTCGATGACATCCCTAATATAGAGAGAAAGGAAAGTGGAAGTAATTAATGTTTGGAATGAAATTTGTGGGGTGGATGGAGGTAGGGTTATTAATTTAATTTTATAATAATATTGTTAATATTGAATTATCATCTAATTTTTATATAAATAAAATTTAAATCCACTTTTTGAAATGATAAGTTAACAAATCATTTTCTATGTAATTTTCACTTTAAATAACATTACTGGCCCATTTGGAGACCTATGTTATGTGTCTTGTCATGCACATTTGGGCTGGGCTACGAATATGGGCTTTAAACACATTTTTAGGATTTATGGCAAGAAAGCATTCTTCGGAGCCCCTTTGACGTAAATCTGTTTAGAATAGATTTTGTAAAAAACGATTTTTTATAATAATACATAATTAAAAAGTAGAAAAGATTTGAGTTCACGTGGAAAATTACTTTACCGAGAGAATGTGTTGATAAAAATGAATTTGGGAAAAAAGTTTGAAAAAATATCTACCAACAAATGGGTTAACTGTTATAAATTAAAAAGGAAAAAACAGAGGAAAATAGAAGAGTCAAAACTTTTGCATATTTTATTAAAAATCGTATTCCTACATTTATGGGTTATAAATTGTAATGAGGAATGCGGAGATATAACTGTCATTCACAAATAGTAATTTAATTTACAACACTAAAATAATCCAATATTTAAACACAATAATTTATTAAAAGGTTGTCATAGACTCAATTAATTAATAATTTTCAATATTCACGCTGGGCTTAGAATAAGCATAGATTGTGTCTTGCCTAGTTGAAAAATAACTTGAAAATAGTCTAGTCGAGAATTATATGTTGGAAATTGGTTTCCAAATTAACATGAAAGATCGGAAATTGGTTAAGTAAAAATTGATATCGAAAAGTGTGACTAACATGTCAACTTCGGTCGAATATTCGGACTTGATCCGATGGTCAAATTATAAAAGTAAAAAGGTCAACTTGTTCTACTCATTGAGTAGATGATCGTAGTATATTTAGACATTAGAAACCAATTCTGGGTGAATGAGAAATTGTGGTCCAAAGATTGGAGGAAAATACGGTGGAAAAGGGCTAAAATACACTGTCCCTCGATGTTCGCTCGAGCGACAGTCTCGCTCACTCGAGCAAAATTCGAGCGAAGTATGTTCTGCTTGGATTTTTGAAGCGCTGCTCGAGCGAAAAGTTAGCGAAGATGGAATGTTGCAACTATTTAAAGATTGCACGATTTGGCCCACACCACTTTATCCACACCCCTTCCTCTTCTATAAATAGGACCCCTTGGACGTCCCTAAGGGTACACCAACTCATATTTTGTATTGAGCACTCTTCTTCTCTTACAAAATCTCTCTCCCTTTTTCTTGCATAAAATCCCTTTGTAGAGGGAGAAATTCCGTCAGTTCGTCGGTTCTTGTTGTGTGAAATACTGCTATCACAAGATTAAAATTCGTTGTATCTTGGGAGTTGGGAGGTGAGTGCCGTCAACCTTTGATACCTACTCACCTGTAACGAGAATCACCTCGATAAGGTTGCTAATTGCAATTGCGACAATACATAACCTTGAGATTCATCAAATAGATGTAAAAACGACATTCCTAAACGGTGAGTTAGAAGAGGAGATATATATGAAACAATCTGAAGGGTTTGTGTCTCCAAATGAAAGCCATAAAGTATGTAAACTTGTTAAGTCCTTATATGGCCTAAAATAAGCTCCTAAGTAATGACACCAAAAGTTTGACAAAATAATGTTGTCAAATGGATTTAAAATAAATGAATATGACAAGTGTGTATATGTGAAGAATACACCAAATGCCTATGTGATAGTATGTCTATATGTAGAAGATATGTTGATAATGGGCAATAGTCACGAAATGTTGACAAACACCAAGAAAATGCTAACAAGGCATTTTGACATGAAAGACATGAGTATGGCAGATGTAATACTAGGGATAAAGATCTCTAGAACATTGGAAGGAATCGTACTTTCCCAATTTCATTACGTTGAGAAAATACTTAAGAAGTTTGAAATATTTGAGGAAAGTCCTACAAAGACTCCTATTGACACAAGTTTACACTTTTGAAGTATACCATAACCTATGGATTACATTTCATAAAATATTATGTGGTATTAGAAGTATATTGTGATGCGAATTGGATATCCGATATGAAGGATTCCAAATCCACAAGTGGCTATGTGTTTACACTTGGTGGAGCTGCTATCTTATGGAAATCTTCAAAGCAAATGTGTATAGCTCGATCAACTATGGAATTAGATTTTATTGCTTTGGACAAAGCTGGTGAAGAAGTAGAATGGTTTCGAAATTTTTTAGAAGATGTTCCATGTTGGCCTAAGCCGGTACCTGCCATAAGCATACATTGCGATAATCAATCGGCTATTGAAAGGGCTAAAAGCAGCATGTACAATGGTAAGTCTAGACATATACGTTGGAGATATAATACCATTAAGCAACTAATCTGAATGGGTATCATCTCTATAGATTATGTGAAATCAAAGGAGAATGTTGCGGATCCGCTTAAGAAAGGTTTGCCAAGAGATCAAATGCCATAAGCATACATTGCGATAATCAATCGGCTATTGAAAGGGCTAAAAGCAGCATGTACAATGGTAAGTCTAGACATATACGTTGGAGATATAATACCATTAAGCAACTAATCTGAATGGGTATCATCTCTATAGATTATGTGAAATCAAAGGAGAATGTTGCGGATCCGCTTAAGAAAGGTTTGCCAAGAGATCAAATACGTTGCCTATCGAGAGGAACGAGATTAAAGCCTACTACGTTAGAATTCTTGTAATGGTAACCCTACCTTGTTAACTGGAGATCCAAGATCTTGGTTCAAAGGGACAACTAAGTTATGAGGATTCCATGAAGTATTTAGGAAATAATTTCCTAACTCATTCCTATAATACCAAAGTGCTTTCTGTAGAATTGGAAGACGTTAAGATAATATTTTAATGATTCATATATCTTGATTAAGTCAAGTGGAGTAGGGCATAATTCTCTTAATAGAAGGTCACCTATGTGAGTGTGAAGTGAGGCCGCTTCAATGAGAATTATTCAAGGCTTAAATTCTCTAAAACACTTGCAAAATCAAGAGGGGTTCAGGGCCAAAATGAACAAAGTCATGAGAACCAAGAACGGACTTAGGGAAGACATTGTGTGAGTATTGTTGTCTTGGCTTACACTAACGGCTGGTCGGTTTAAGACATCACGTTCACCAACTAACCAAGTAAGCTTGATAATATGTCACTAGGGAAGGTTCAAAGCCGGAAGCTACCTTGCCCGATGCAATATTTCTCCGCTTTCTCTCTACAATTGCATGTATGTGTTGCATACAATTTGCATACTCGAATTTTCATTCATGTGGGGGATTGTTGGAAATTGGTTTCCAAATTAACATGAAAGATCGGAAATTGGTTAAGTAAAAATTGAAATCGAAAAGTGTGACTAATGTGTCAACTTCAGCCGAATATTCGGACTTGATCCGATGGTCAAATTATAAAAGTAAAAAGGCCAATTTGTTTTACTCATCGAATAAATGATTGTAGTATATTTGGATATTAGAAACCAATTCCGAGTGAATGAGAAATTGCGGTCCAAAGATTGGAGGAAAATACAGTGGAAAATGACTAAAATACACTGTCACTTGATGTTCGCTTGAGCGACAGTCTCGCTCGCTCGAGCAAAATTCGAGCGAAAAGCGAGCGAAGTATGTTCTGCTCGGGTTTTTGAAGCGCTGCTCGAGCGAAAAGTTAGCGAAGATGGAATGTTGCAACTATTCGAAAGATTGCACGATTTGGCCCACACCAGTTCATCCACACCCCTTCCTCCTCTATAAATAGGACCCCTTGGACGTCCCTAAGGGTACACCAACTCATATTTTACGTTGAGCACTCTTCTTTTCGTACAAAATCTCTCTCCCCTTTTCTTGCATAAAATCCCTTTGTAGAAGGGGAACTTTCGTCAGTTCGTCGGTTCTTGTGGTGTGAAGTGTTGCTACCATAAGATTAAAATCCGTTGTATCTTAGAAAACGAGTGCCGTCAACCGTAAGCACCATAGCGGGGCAATATTGTCTTAAGGAGAAACTGTCATCACTTGCCTCGGATTTCATTTCTTTTACTTCTCATTTTCTTGTTTCATTTTGATACCTTGATTTTGTGGTTTTGTACTACACTTTCAAGTTCACATATCGATAGTTTGATCACGCTCCTGTAGGTTAAACATTAATTTGTTTTGATACAAACATCAACAACTATCATACCGCTCACATAAACCCCGAAACCAACATTATAATCTCTCAAATATTTATATTGAAGTACAAGGGAATATATCTCCATGTATCGTGGAGACTCAGACGAAGATTTGGACCAAGGTCACGATCCAAATAGCTCTACAAATCTGAAATCGCTTTACACAGATTAGAGTTACAAAAGTCAAGATCTGAAAAATAAAACTAGATAACACGTCACTTTTCCTTGGTAAAAGGTCCTAAAACTATTACAATACCCAGAAAGCAAATGGGAAAAAAAATTAAGTAAATAAGAAAAATCATGGAAAAGTGAGAAAAAAATTATATGCATGGCAGAGATGAAATATTTGCATGCATGTTCTGATTTAGTTTCTCTAATTCGCCATGAAAATTCGAAAACTCAATAATTTCAATATATAACAATCCTGTCTTGTGTTTTATTAAGATTCACAAAAACATAAATTTTGAGACAAAGAATGCTCTAAACTAAAAGAAATTGGAAATGATAAGAGGACTCGCAATTAAGAACACGATTTTATTACCAATTCGAATTTCTCTACACAATTTCTTTGGTTAGAAATTGGTTTGGCATTCTTGTGATAAAATCTTGGTCGTCTTTCTTAATAGTGAATCTACCTTGATATCACAATTAATGGCCGCGTCCTTTTGCACTGTCTTGGCCCAACTTTTAACCTCCATAGGCACTTCAATATTCAAATGCATGAGTTTTGGCTTTGTACCATCGAGGCTCTTTTTGATATCATTCTCTATTGACGCCTTTGTGCCATGCAAGACCAAAGGAATATTTGTGGAGCCATTGGGATCTAGGGTTAGATTTGGGACTCCTCCTCGTGCAATTTTTTGTTTCTTGAATTCAATGGAGGCTTTTCCGGCAGCTCCTTTGAAAGAAACATCCATTCTTTCATTAGGGTTATGGGCTTTCAATGTGACGTCATATTCCGGCGAGTGGCTGGAACCATGATGCCCATTAATAAATTGTTCCAAATTCTTGACATGAATTTTTGTGACAGAGAAAGTTGGATATCTAGGTTTGTATAAAGCACGTGTCACTCCAACAGAAATGCCCACGGTGAGGCCTATGAGGGCAAAGGCCAAGATTATCCACCAACAAGATCCACCAAAACAAGCCTTCTTCTTCCGATCTTGGGGCGGCCGGCGGTGGCTCTCCACAATTTTAGCATTTTCTGGAGGTGGAACGCGGTAAACTTGATCACGAGGGATTTGTACAATGTAGGTTTCGGAGTTTTCAAGGGGAAGCGGTCCGGGTACTAAAGCCATGGAGTTCGACGATGGTGGTTCATCTTTCCCATCCTCGGAGGGGCATTTCCGCTCCTCCATGAAAAGGTGAGGAGCGGTGTAAAATTGGAGGAGGAGGAGGCAAGCAAGGATTTGTATGTAGAAATATAAAAGTTTGTTTGCATGGAAAAATGAATGATACGAAATGATTAATTGGAAAATGGGACTTGGCTTTGTTAGAAAGGAGAGGCTAATAATATTTCCAATCCAGACCTTCGATGTAAATGCAATGCAATGCAATGCAAGTCTATTGTATTGTTACTCTCTCACTATAACACTATTAATTATAAACCATTTTAGACCGCGTATGGGAAAATACTACAATGAAATCCAATGATCTGTTTTCATTTTTACAGCAACTACTTTTAGAATTATTTTCAACATGGTGTTTACTTGTCCAAAAAGGGAAAAGAATTGTAATCTCTTTACCAAATTCTCAAATATGTTGCTCCAAGTTCTGAATTATTCCTAATTGGTGCAAGATTTTAGGTTATTTTTCATGGTCAAAAACTCTGCTTGTGTTTTGCCTTTGGGACATTCCTAATATATCTCCTTACCTATTATTGGGGTAATCATATGATAGATTATTGCCTTTTAAAGTGCATGGAATCATAGTTATTAAACTTGATTCGGTGGAAGACCCGACAAAGTTATCAGGTCAGTGGATCAATGGTTCAATCGGTGAATCGGTAGGTCATTGTTAGATCATAATTTTAATTAAAATATATTTTTGAAACCAAAAAAAAAAAAAAATACATTTTGCTAAATCTATAGAAATATATGTTTGGCTTGCATGCTATAATGTGTTTCACCAGCTTCCTAGAAGGTCAAGGACCCAAATTTTCATGTAGGAAGCCAAGGTTAAAATCATCCTCTTTGCAAGTTGGAAAAAATGAAATTTACATTGTACTTGGTAAATTGAAGTATAAATATTTGCTACACATCATAGTCTAGAGGTGGACAAAATGGTTAAGGACATGACATTCCAAGGAAGAGGCCAAGGTTGGAATTAGCTTCTTTGTAATTTGATAAAAAAAAATTTATAATTTACTTTGTTGACCATCTGGTTCAATGTGTAAACCAAATCTGGTATCTCTTAAATCCGTCTGATTCAAGTGGATTTTGAGTGGTTCAATCGGTTCTTGATAGGATCCTTTGTTTATTTGTTTAATTAATGAACTTGGACCGGACCACTATCCGATTCGGTAGTTTTCGGTCCAGTCTTGTTTTAAAAACTATGCATGGAATAATAAAAGTACAATAATATCTTCTGATTATATGTGGCATTCCATTTTTCTACTTATTTAGTTAGGATTAGTGCTTGAAAACATGTTTATTATAAATAATACTATTCATAGTGAAGACTATCAAAATCGCCCTATGTTGAATACATATGACAATTTGTTATTTCATGTATAAGGTAATAAAAAACTCTCATATTAATGTATCAAATAACAGACTGGCATGTGTATGTCATATAGGATGACTGTCGATAATTTTGACTAAAAATAGCATTATTCATTTATTATTGTATAAGACTTTTCTCATTTTCAGTGATATAGTCCCTTTCTGCATACCTTGCCCATGATGGGGCATAACTGTCGCCTGCCTCTATGTATGGCGGCGGTTGCGGGTTTGCGGCCTTATCATGATTCCCATGTTAAGAAAGAAAATACCTTTCAACATTTTATGTATTATTTCTAGTGCCAAAGAGCATTTTCAATGCAATTATGTATTGTTTAAAATTTGTCACATAAACAAAAATAAATGATTTTAAAATTATTTGTCTCCAATGCAAGTTGACAAGGATTCCGGTCAAGTTGCCGCTCATTTATAACTACAGGTGTTTATCACCACAGCACCGTCACAATTGGTTGAACCTTTCATTTAAAGACCATGTTGCCAGGATGATAACAAGTCTGGTGCTCCATAGACCATAGAATTATTTGGTCCTAATCCACCAAGCTGGGATTTATGAAAGGAGAAATTAGTCACACTACCCTTAAAAAATAAAATATTAGATTAATATCTTTAAAGCTTATTAGAACTATAAATTCTCATATTAATTACGCTCAAATTGATTTTGTCACTTTCTTTGAGGATTTTTTTTCTTCCAAAATTTTTGTCACTTTTTGATATATTATCATTTTTCTGAATTTCTTGTCACTTTTGTTTAATAGTTTTTTTTTTCCTTGTCACTTTTCTATGTCACTTAGAAAGGTGACATGATATTTTCCAATATTGACATAACTTGTTCTTTTCAAAAAATGATATTGGTATGTCACTTTTTTACCCTTTAAATTTCATAAAATTGTTACTAAATTTAGCTTATATTTAAATATGCCATGAAATTGCATATCAATGACGATAATAACAATTTAATCGCTTTTTAACAGCGTCAAAACTTAGATTCTTAATAAGTAACATATTAATTTATGTAACTTTTTTAACAAAATAATGACATTTACGTTTTAATAAAGGCTATTGTATGTGCAATGTATGGGGACAACAATTTCAATCATTTTGTCACTTTTATATTCATTATTTTTTCTACATTTGCTTTTATAATAAATGAGTACATTATTTTTATCCATATCTACAAAAGAATATAAGGCCCTATTTGATAGGGTTTGAATTCCATGGATGAATTCTATTTTCCAACGTTTTTGGTATTTGATTGCATTTCTTTTCCATGGAATTCGTTTTCTTAGTTTTCAAGGAAAATAGGCTACCAATTTTTTTTTTTTTTGCCAATGAAAATAAATTCTATCCTTAATTGTAAAAAAATATTTTCTTTTAATTGACAATTTTCATATAAAACGAAGCAAAATGAATACCAAAAGATAGATAATTTTCTTTGTTTTTGTTGTTTTTTTTTTCCGTTTTTTGCAATGAAAATAAATTCTATCCCTAATACACATAAATTCTATAATTTTAATTGACAATTTTCATGTAAAACAAAGCCAAAAGAACATTAAAAATACTTTTATTTCAATATTTTTGATGTAAAAAATTATATCAATCAAA